ATTTCCTAAATGCTAAACATTGTGTCTAGTAAAGACAGGTAAATAATAAATATGAACTCTCTAGTCCCATGCCCACCATTAGTTTACAGTCTAGAGAACACACTGGAAGTGGCAAAATGCAGAAAAATAAAGGTAAAATTGAAATAAACTAAAGATTCTTTGTTTACTCGTCATACTCCTTAGTTAAACCTCACTCTCACATTTCAACAGGTAGGTTTTTTTGTTTTAACTAGTTGTATGCTCAAGGATTTTTACATACTATATCCAAATCTCCGAAATGTTCAAAAAAGTAATAATCCAAAAATATACTAAAGAATATTTCCTATATCATTAACCTCCAACTATAGAATGCTATTCTAGTATTCATTACATATATGCACACACACACATTACACATATACATATATTTTTATGCAGAAATAATCATTCATTTGTTTCTTTTTTTTTGGAGACAGAGTCTCGCTCTGTTGCTGGGGCAAGAGTGCTGTGGCATCAGCCTAGCTTACTGCAACCTCAAACTACTGGGCTGAAGTGATCCTTCTGCCTCAGCCTCCCGAGTCGCTGGGACTACAGGCATGTGCCACCATGCCCAGCTAATTTTTTCTATGTATTTTTAATTGTCCAAATAATTTCTTTCTATTTTTAGTAGAGAAGGGGTCTCACTCTTGCTCAGGCTGGTCTCGAACTCCTGACCTCAAACAATCCTCCCACCTCGGCCTCCCAGAGTGCTAGGATTACAGGCGTGAGCCACCCCTCTCAGCCCATTCATTTCTTATATAATAAAAGTCAAAACTAATCTACCTTACACCCTTGCAGCTCTGAAATTCTCTGATTCTGACTGCTCAGACATTTCATAACAACTTCTGCTTAAATTTTTTCAAGAATACTCTGGTTTAGCTGCCTACTTAATTCAGAATTAGTGTATAGCCTTAAATGGGTTGAAATCTCTCCTCTCAAGCACCACAATTAACATGCACATATGTAATATATTTCAAGTACATCTTGTTAGGGTTTTGTTTTTTGTTTTTTTTATTTTTAACAAGTCTGTCTCCTACCATCCAATAATCTGACAAGTTTAAATATGCCCAGTTTATCAAAATACATTTACACTTTTCTTTAAATTTTGTAGACAATTATTTCTCAGAGGTATCAAAAATTAGCCCCATTCCAAAAGTCTAAAAATTGATTTATAGAAACACCTATGTTAGTGTTGCCAGATAAAATACAGGCTACCCACTTAAATGTGGATTTCAGATAAAAAACAAATTTTTTTCTTCTAAGTATGTCTGGAATTCAATTTGACTGGGTGTTCTGTATTTTTATTTGCTAACTATAGCAATACTAACCTATTGGCGAAAAAAAGGTTATTTTAAAAGTCCACCGAGCCATGTAGCACTCGGTAATAAATACAAAAGGTGCTATGGATACTATATTTCTTAATGCATACAAATATTATGTATTCAACTTTTACCTTGAGAAATTGTTGAGGTATACCAGCTATTTAATTGAAGGCACCACAAAGAAAGTACCAAATAAAAATGACAGATTAATGACATCTGTTTAATCTATTTAGTAACATGTCCTGATGATGTTCAGATAGATGAATTACCTCACAGGATTACTGGTCAAAGACACTCGAAGGGACTCTAGGCACGTGACAAGTCTCTCATCTGCAGATCCCATTTTCAGCTCATAAATGAATTCCTGAGGTGAGATCTGTCGGCTACGCTTAAGACTTCCCTGTAAAATAAGTCAAAAAGAATTTTTTAATTCGTGTTGCGTGAAGATTACCCATAAAATAATATCAAACTAATCTCACCACTCGTTAACAGCTGCACATGACTACTATGATTAGTATTATTTT